TCTGTCATACAGGGAAAGACAACAGGGTGAACAAGAGGCACAAATTCAGACAGCCAATTGAGTCAGCTTTCAAGCACCTGCAAGACCTCTTCCCAGGCTCCCAGCCTGGAGTGACTGTAATACAGAGCAGAACAGGATGCTTCAGGATAGGCTAGTTTAGAAAAGAATTCATGGGCTGTGAAGAAAAGACGGGCCAGAAATGAGTGAATACAAAGAGTTCAGTGGGGGCAGAGATTCCTGGGCTCCCAACTCTACAAAAAACATAACCCATAGGAAGAAAATCTGGCAGTTAGTTTATCTAAGAAACCCAATATTCAGTAGAAGACCTCAGAAAGAATATAAAGGCTAGAACCACCTTTTAAAAAAATACAGGGTATCTTAAAAGATGCAAAGCCATTAGCCATGAACAAAGACATATATTTGACAAAATATCAGTAATCATTTTAATTGGCAAGAGATAAGACAAACAGAAGATAACTCATATTATCATATATATGATTATCCGTATATACTCAGAACCCAGAATGTATTAGAGAAGGAGGTCGCTAGAAGTCTGGGAGTTAAGAAGAATGAGGCAAAAGGATGGAAATAGATAGTAAAAAATACCAGCCTCACAAGCAATCGAATACATCCAAACTAAAGTAATGCAAAGTACCTTTCCGACCTCGCGATCATAATAATAATAATAATAATAATAATAATAATAATAATAATAACTTAATGCTGAATGTTATCAAAGATTCGAGAAAATGGGTATATTTCTCCCAGAATGGATACTGAGCAGTGCCTTCAGCCTTTGGAGACCAGCATGGTGACACTAACATCAGAAAAATAGAACCTAAATCCCAAGACCCAGTAAAGTTCTGCTTCTAGGTTCATACACAAGAAAGCAGTTACACATGTACACGAAGTGAGGTAACAGGAGAAGTAGCACAGTTTAGGCTGAAATGGCAAGGACGACAGCTGCGGAGAGCTTGGGAGCCCATCCATAAATAAATTAGACTGTAATTTGCTGATGTAGTACTTGGCAGTACAGAAAAAAAAACAAACCTGACCTGTTTACCAATGAGAACAGACCTCAAAATTTATCAAAGTAGGCTTTTTAAAAACTACAGGTAGGGCTGAAGAGAAGGTTTAGGGGTTAATAGCACTCGTTGCTGTTGCACAGGGCCTGGTTTCAACTCCCAGCTTCCACATGGCAGCTCACAACCAGTAATTTGTCTTAGGGGATCTGCCGCCCTCCTCTGGCCTCCATAGACATTGTATGCACTTGGAGCACAGACAAGCATGCAGGTAGAAAACACCCAAACACATAAAATGAAGGTTTTTTTTAAAAACTCTTTCAAAGGTACTTGTAGAATTGTTTTAAAAAAAGAGACTATATTGCCTACACATTCTACATATAGAAATGAACTGTGTATACAAGGAATCTACACACGCTCAGTCGCTCTGACAGACTGAGGACTACATAAAGATTGGAAATAGAGCAGATATGATAAAACAACTATTGGGTTTTGTTTGGGAAGGGTTCTTGTTTTGGTTTGGTTTTAGTTTGTTTTTTTGTTTGATCCTTGAGAAAGGATCTATATATCCCTGGCTAACCTGGAGTTCAATGTACAAACCAGGTAGGCTTTGAACACAGAGATCTGTCTCTGCCTCTCTAGTGCTGTTATTTAAGGCACATGCCACCACACCCGGCTTTAGTAGCTGTTTATTCAGAGATGGTGTTTTTATGCATCTTTACTCTTTTCTGTAATTACAGAACTTGCCAAAAAAAAAAAAATCCAGAATTAAAAAATTAATTAAATGTCAAACTAGGCCTGTAAAGACTGTGAGCCCTCCTGGTGAAAAGACCGTGTTGGGGTCACAAAATCACAGGAGGGATCACCTCAGGGTTAAGTGAGAAGACAGACATAAACAGACATCTTTAGGACTGCAAATGAAAAGCCCAGAAGCGTCTGAAAGTGGTACTAGATGGTAGTAGGCAGTTTCTATGGAGATGGAGCCCTCACCATCAAGAGCAGGGAGGAAATGTAGGATTCAGCAGTAGCTGAGGCACTGGAGTGAGACTGAAGGACACAATGTTCACAGGCCCAGCTTGTCTTATGGTGGAATGACTTGCAGGTGTCTCACTCAAACCCTTAAAAACATTCTTGCACATAGTACTTCGAATTTTAAAGCACTTCCTAGGGTGTTTACACACCCACCATATTTAAACCATGGACCTAAGGTTGATAAACTAGGTTTTAGCTGTCTGCCTATACAGGTTAATATCTGAACTTCTCAAGTTTGCTCCTTCATGGAACCTGTGGCATTCACAATGTTTTCTAAATGACCTTTGGTTGTTTATATTTTGTTCGGGGTTATTTTATATTTTTAATGTATTATTATTGTGTGTCTGTCATGGCACAGTTGTGGATTGCTGGGCAGCAAGCACTCCACCGGTTGAGAAATCTCACCAGTCTTCCACTTGTTGTTGGTTTTTAGGGACTAATTTTTTTATTAATTTATGAATGTGTGTCTGTGTGACTATATGTCACTGTGTGTCAATGCCCCCAAATCCACAGCAGGTTATTACATCCTCTGGCGTTGAAGTCACGCGTGGTGGTGAACCACCTGTCATGGACGCTGGGAAACAAACTCAGGTTCTCTGAAAGGCAGGAAGTGCGCTGTAGGCAGAGCCAGCACTCCAGTGCCAACCTTTTTTTTTTCTTTTTTAAGACAGGGCCTCAAACTCACAGTTCTCCTGCCTTAGCCTCCAAAGTGCTGGGATTATAGGCATGCCCTACCATCCCTGGCTATTTTTAGCATTTTAACACAAGCTCTTTGAAAAAGAAAAAAAAAAAAAAAACACAGTCACCCTTCACCCGTGATGATTATACATGATTAGCACATACCACTCATTTGCCATGTCATGCAGAAACTCTCAGTGGATCAGTATAGAGAGCATTTCCATATTTAGACAGGTTCTCAGGTTATTTTTAAGCAAACTGGAATATTATGGTATTATCACTAATATTATTTCCCCTATTCCTTGAAAGAACAGTATTTAGGATCTGGCTGGATGAAATTTTACTGATATATTTCCAAGAATGAATTCAGCTGAGAGATGGCAGCTTTTTATGTTTCCACCAGGTGAATATTTATTTCAATAATTATTTAACTTGGAAAGACCCATATGGAGACAGCAGGTATACTACCTTCCTCAAGATCCTTAATTAAGAAGGCATAGCTGGCCGTAGTAATGATACTGAATGCCTTTAATCCCAGCACTTGGGAGGCAGAGAGAAGGGATCTCTTATGAGTTCAAGATCAGCCAGGTTTACATAGGCAAGTTCCAGGCTAACCAGGACTACAGAGTGAGACCCGATCTCAAAAAGCAAAAACAATTCAAAATTCAAGTCCAAGTTTCCAACAAGGAAAATTCCAAAGCCGTGATTTGGGAAGGGGGCCAGGAACATGTTCTCAGAAATCACAACTCTTCAGACATTACAAGGTGTTGTTATTTCAATTGTTTTATTTTTCTCAGCAGTAACTAGTCATTTTCAGAAACTCTCACAGAAGTTAACCATCGAGTACAGTGCAGTGATTAACCAGGCTTCTTCACAGCATTTGATTATCGCTAACTCTGTTCCCCTGACACTGACCCAGGACCCATCTAGTCTTCCTAGACTATCTTCACTGCTGGTGATTTTGTTATAGGATCTGAAAATGATGTTCGCATTGTGACAGCAGTGAGCCTTGGCCACCAAGTTTGATGCCAGATAACCATCACCCTGCATCACTCCATTCGGGCCCTTCTGCTTCTCGGGGACAGCGGTACTGCCATGTGGTGACAGCACACATTCAATGCAGCTCACCTGTCAGCTTTGAAACTGTAGGAGGTTTTATTATTTTCTTTTTAATTTGAGGAAAGGCATGAAGTTAATAGAGACATTATTTTAGAACATTTTATATCTTAGTAGCTCATATATGCTCATTGCTACAGTATTTTAACTTACACGTACAAGGCCGAAATATTGAAACAATTTTTTCCTACCTTTCATAGTAGGGGGTAAATAGATAAATGCAAATTTAATTAATTTTTTAAAAATAAATTTCTAAAAGTTATTATTTAGAAACATCAAGAATTAAGAAACTGAAAACAAGAAAAAAACAACTGTGCCTGAAGCATGAAAAGAAACTCTAGGGCACACTGGAATACACACTGACCCATAGAGGCCAGCTATGCCATTAGCACTAAAACACACATGTGCTGTTCTACCATAAGGATCAATGTTTGGACCCCAGCACCCATACTGCGCAGCTCAGAATGGGCAAATCCACAGAGTTCAAGAACTGATTAGTGGTTGTCAGGGTCTGGCAGTAGGGAGAAAGGGAGAGACTTCTAATAGATACGAGATTTCCTCTTGTGGTGACAAGCATGCTCCAGCATTAGAGGTGGGAAGCACCATTCTGTGACTATATTAAAAACCAATAAATGTGTAACTTTTTAAGTATGTAGACCAACTTTCTAGTATGTAGATATTATCTCAATAGTTATTAAATTTTTAAAAGGGAAAAAAAAGACAAGTGGTTGCTTCCGATGAAGGCCTAAGCAAGAAAGGAAGCAGTGACAGACACTAAGCCACACCAGCACTGCTGTCCTCCTGTCCTCTCTGAGGAGCTCCCCTAGTGCACTCCTGGTCCCAAAGCCCCTGCTAAGACCCCCTTGTGTCTCTCTGATCTTAACTCTTCTCTCCAGCTCCCAGGCCCTCATCAGACTGAAGCCTCTGACAGCCGCCTCTCACAGGCTCTCCACTCCACAAACCTTTCCAGCCACATTCTGGCTCACAGTGCCTACCTGCATCCAGGAATTGCTAACTGGTTGACTCCTTGACCTATTCTCTTGCTGTTGTCTCTTAAGAAACCACATCAACTACAGTGGCCAAGGAAAACCTGGATCCTCATCCTCTGGGAACACATTGACCTTGCGAGAAAAAGCAGAAGTTTTATCTCACCTGGATTTGGGCTACTGGGAGCCCAGCTGCCCTTTCTTCCTCCTCGGGGTTTCCCTCTATGTGCCATGCTGAATCCTGAGGGCACAGAGCTAGGAAAGAAAAAAGAAGTCATGGAGGCACCTCCTCCTGTCAGAAGTTCATGTACTCTATGGAAATGAGGAAGGCTAGGCCCTGCCCCTGCTCCTACCATCCCACATAAGGAAGAAGGATACTTCCTCACCCCACAGATGAAGGAAATGGGACTTCGAGAAGGTGAGACCATGTGACTCCTCACTGACCTATGCTATGAGGAACCATCTCTGAGAAGCACTTTTCACAACCTTTCTGGGTCTGAGCCCCAAGTATCTCAACATTAATTGTCATGTTATCTGTCCTAGAGATGTCATCTTTTCTGATTCCTCTTTATTCTAACTCTGTAGAGTGAGAGCTGGACTACCAGCTCTAATCCCAGCTAAGGCAGATCACAGAAGCAAGAGGATATTACATGGCAGACAGCACAGTTGAGGATACAGGTTGTTGACTCACCCCAGGAAGCAGAAGAGTCAGCAGTTGCCATCCCCCAAGACTGGTCCATGAGGGCACCTGCAGAGCAGCCTCAGGTTAGGACTGTGACAAAAACCCAGGGACTGTAGGTAACATAAGAAAAAATGAGCATGGCAGAGCCCTATACAGAGTCCAAGGGTGTAGGTGGAGTTTCTGTGTCTCAGCAGCAGTTCCTGAATAACCATTCAGAGATTGTTTATTAATTATAAATGCTCGGCCAATAGCTTATGATTGTTTAGCCAGTTCTTATAACTTAATTTAATCCATTTCTATCAATTTTTGTGCTGCCCTGAAGCTCATTTACCTCGGATACATACTTCTCATCCTGCTCACTCTGAGTCTCATGGTCTCTTCTGACTCCCAAGGATCTGCCCCTCTTCCTCCCAAGGTCCTGTCTGGCTGTCCCACCTATATGTCCTGCCTAGCTACCAGCCAGTCAGTTCTTTTACTAAACCAATCAGAAGACACCTTAGCAAAGGCACATCTTCACAGCATACAAAAAGATTATTTTGTAACACAAGGGCATATGACAAAGCCAACATAACCTGGATTTGCACAGGAAATGCTCCTATGGAATATGATTTAACAACAAGGCTATTAGAAACAGAATCCTTTAAATGGCTGAATAAGTATCTGATAAGATGCAACAATACTTATTTCTTATGTTCATAGAATATTGCTGTGGGACAATGGTCTTGTACCCTATAAGGATTTGTCACATGTATTGGTTTAATAAAATGCTGATTGGTCAGTAGCCAGGCAGGAAGTATAGGTGGAGAGACCAGAACAGGAGAATTTTGGGAAGAGGAAAGGCTCAGTCTGCAGACACAGAGGAAGCAAGATGAAACTGCCTCACTGATAAAAGGTACCAAGCCACGTGGCTAACACAGACAAGAATTATGGGACAATATAGGCTGTAAGAGCTAATAAGAAGCCTGAGCTAATAGGCCAACCAGTTTATAATTAGTGTAGACTTCTGTGTGTTTCTTTGGGATTGAACGGCTGCAGGATGGGCAGGACAGAAACTTCAATCAACAGGATGACCTTGATGTCTAAAACAATCACATAGCACTATTAACATGGTTTTTAAAAAACAAATCAATGTTACATACATGAAATGCAAGAATAAAAGTGAAAAATACAGAAGTAAAAAAACGTTTTGATTGTGTATATTGTATGACTGTCATCTAAAGAGTCCCATAAATTATTGGAATATCTCATCAAGGCCCTTTTCAGAAGCTGAGCATCAACTATACAAAATTTATGTTGTCTTTTATGGATAAATTTCCCCTTAACCAATCATCAGTTCTAATTTTGTACTAAGATAACTAGGCCTTCTATTATCTCCCAAAGCCAGCAATCCCTGACCTAGAGTAACAATAGGTCACTTCCTGTAGGAAAGATACAGAAAAATGAAGATTTGGACTCACCCCAGGAGGGCCACAGGTTGATGGCTGCCATCCCTGAGAATTAATCAACCAGGGTCCTGCCCAGCACTGCAATTACCAACCTAAAGACAAAGTGAAAAAAGACAAAATTGGTCCTTTCTCACAAAAGAGCTAGCAAGAACAAAGAGACCCATCCACAAAAGACCCCTGAGAAGCACCATTTTTTAAAAACTAAAATTTACACTTCAAACATAACAAAGTAGAGTTAGAGAGATGAGCCTGCACGATGATCTGAGTTCCACATGGTAAATACATACGTCTGGTACAGTGAGCAGAAAGCAAGTAATCCGGCACTGGAAGGCAGAGACAGGAGGGTGGCTGGGGATTTCTGACCAGTCAGTAGAGTGGAATCAGAAAGGCCCAGGGTCAGTAGGACATCCTGTCTCAAAAGCCACGATAGACTCCCAACACCAACCTCACAGTCAACACAGACACACACAAGAAAAAGAAAAATGACAAAACTGTGGGGCAAAATGAACACAATGGGGTGGGGTTGGGGCGGGGTCGACCAATCCTGGTTAAGGGTGAAAATGTGTATGTCACTCATTACAAGAGACCCATTCCACTTAATGATGAAACAAAGAATGCTGTAAACCTGAACATAATGCTCATACATTAATGCTCTAAAGCTGAAGGAAGGGGGAAACGGAGTGACTCCTAAATGTGTACCAGAAGGATCTAGGGGGGAGGGGAGTAATAAAAAGTTCTGGAATGAGGGAAGGTTTTACAGTTGCACACTGTATATACAACAAATCTAATGAATCGCTTTATTACTGTATTTCACGTATATAACATTGATCTGTTTTTTTTTTTAAACGATGTTAACAGTGCTATGTGATTGTTTTACCCTTAAGTTTTCATCGCCATAGACATCATGGTGGTATCTTACGTACATGTTAAAGTCAAACGACAACAACTAAAAACCACCTGCAAGACCTTCCAGACTCAAGACTATTGGTCCCTTCCTGGGGCCGTGTCACAGACAAAAGTCCAAGCTCCACAAATGCACGGATGCCGAGTCTTGTTTGAGACCAGTAATCTCTCGGAGAAATGCTTGGCACTGACTAAGAGCAAGCTTACAGAGATTCAGATACCCCGGGATTTGAGCCAAAACTCAAGGCAAGCAAGTTTCAAGAATCCCACAAACACACTCCGAAAACTCAAGGCAAGCAAGTTGCAAGAATCCTGCACGCGCACCCACACAACACACCACAAGCACCTCCGTGTCGTTTTAAATTGAAAAGAACTCGGGCCCTTCCTAAGTCAGGTTTGACGCCCTTCATGCATCCTTGCTTGGCAGGGAAGGGATGAGAGCCTACTGGACACTATCTCGGTTCCTAGCCTAAACAAGCGGGTCGCTCCAGGCGCTGCTTTCAGAGAGCCGCTCGCCTTACCTGGCTCGCAGCCACCGGCCCCGATCCTGCGCTGCAGCGTCGCTGGCTCGGGGTTGCTGCCCTGGCGTCCGGTTTGTCCTGCACCGAGACAACGTTCCAGGCCTAGCCTACTTGCCCCCACCCCGCCCCTCGGGCTGGCCTTTCCCAGCCCTAAGAAACGCGGCGCCCAGACCCGGAGCCGGAGGGACGAGAGGGCAACCGGGCACTAAATTAGCAAAGAAAGAGAAGACGCTCGACGCACCCCAGTACTGAAGTAGCCCGCCCGCAGGCGCCGCTTCTCCGTGATCGTTCCCAAAACCCGCCAGTCTCTCAGCAACAACAATATCTGCACCCTTGCAATCCAAGATAAGGCCTTACGTCGGCCGTGGACAATGGCGGCCGCACCCCCTGGAGTCGACCAGGGCGCAACGCAAGGACTACTGGGAGTTGTAGTTTCAAGGATGCGCGCTTCTCCCTTCTACCGGAAGTCTGCCAAGGCCATTTTCTGAGCAGCCCCGTCCAGTCCGGCTTCTACAGCACTCAAACTCTTAGGTTCCGTTTGTTTCTGACTTCTACCTGCGAGAGAGCTAGACTAGGTTGATCAGCTAGGAAGTTCAGTCTGCCTCTCAGTAAAAAATAGCCACTTTCGAAGTCGGAGCTTGGCGACGGTGAATGATCCCTAGAAAGTACTTGCTTCAATCTTGACAAGATTGAGAACCTGGTTGTTGTTATTTTACCTCTTTTTTTTTTTTTTTTTAGATGAAGAACCTAATTCTGAGTGTCCCTGCCTATGAATTCCCACTTACCTATGAAAAACATCAGGAATTGTCTCAAGAATCTTTTTCAAGGTGGATAACCTTATGGGAGTCTAAATTATCAAACTACTTTGTGGTATTTCACTGAGTCAGCTTTTACTGAGCAGCAATTAAAAACAGGAAAAAAGCCAAAGAAACTTCTGCCAATTCAGACCTGTTTATGGCATGTGAAGTAGCATATGTGGAGGGCAAGACCACATTCAAGAGATGTAAGTAAACGTGATTTAGGCATGAACTAGAAACATGACATTATGGATCACAGAGAAGCAATGGTGACCCCAGAAAACACATTATCCAATGAAAGGTACTTAGAATGGTTCTCTGTATTAAGAGGAAAGAGAATGGAAAATATGAAAAGTTAAAAGATAAATGGCTGTAAGACTAGAGAGTGTCAGAGATTGACAGGAAGAAGAAATGACCGTGAGCTTCTAATCCTCCCGTCTTCACCTCAAGAGTGCAAGAGTTACAGGCATCAATAGTTTTATGCAATGCTGGTGATTCACCTTAAGCCTTTGTTCGTGCTAGGCAAGCACTATACAAACTGAACTGCATCCCTAGCCTAGAAATCCAGCTTCTTTCTTGTGAGTTGGGGAAGAACTGAAAAGTTTAGGTGGGGAAGTGGTGACATTGTGTGTGTGTTTAATGAATTAATTAATTGCTATAGAGAAGGGAGTTCAGGAAACAAGGCATGGGGGTCATTTAGAATTCTGAACTGCAATGAGCAAGGCAGACCTCAGAGATAGTTTCAAACCAGAGGGAAGGTCATTTAAAGAAAGCCTGTGGGTTGGGTTTGTAAGGGTAATATTGGCACTCAAAGGAAAGGAAGAAAAGGAGTAAGCCTCCCATCATGTGCAGAGGAACTAAGAAGGAAAGGTGAGCTTGAGAGAAGCCTATTAGAGGGTATAAAAGGGCCACGGGACTGACAGGAACCCCAGGTGGACAGGAAGGTAAGCTTGGGCACAAATAGAGAACTGAACAAAATAACAATATGTGGTTGGTAGAGCAGAAACTCCACATCTAATGATGAGACAGAGAAACAATGATGAAGATAGTTTTCGGGAAAATTCACTTGATACATAAGCTTGATCACTTCTATGTTATCTACCCCAAGAATGCATTTAAATGTAGAAGGAATGAGTCAACTCTACAAAGTTGTATCTGACTGCACATGCAAGTTATGTCACACAGGCACATGCACGTGTGCATGGTTCATACATACAAAACAGATATGTTCAGGTAAGAAGGCAAGTTCCAAACTCTGTTATTTCAACAGATAAATATAATCTTCCAGCACAACCATAATCACTGTAGGAAGTCAAAAATAGAGTCCAAATGATGGCTCAGCACCTTAGCAGGCAAAGGCATCCTGACAACCTTCATTAAATCACCATGTCCCTTCCAATGGTTAGAGGAGAGAACTGACTTCTAAAACTTACCCTCTGACCTCCACATAGTGTTTTGACAATTGCATGTCCAAAAACATGGACAGAAACATGCACACCAATCTGTCAATCAATAAATATATACAATTAAAACAAAATAAATTAAACAGCAATAACTCAAGTTCACTATTATTGAAGACTATAGTTATTTAACTTCTACTTTCAATAGTTTTATCTTTTCTTAGAAATCAGATTATAATGGACATTCACACTCTGTAATTGATGAATAATTCTTTTTTAATACAAGCTTTATTGAGACATAATTCACATAGTGTACAATTCATCAACTTGCATTATGCAATTTTCCAGGTGTGGCATTACACCTAAATCCCAGCACTTAAGAGCCTGAAGAGGAGGACTGCTATAAGTTTGGAACCAGCCTGGTCAATGAGAAAGGAGTTTATCTCAAATAAATAAATAAACAAAAGGAGATGACAATTGAGTGGTATTTCACATATCGGTGGAGTCTTACAGTCATTATCAAATTATTTTTTTAATTAAGCATGGAGCGCAAAATGAGTCCATGACTGCAGGTAAAAAGGTATTGGGTCCCCTGGAGCTGGAATCACAGGTGGCTCTCAGCTGCCTGACATGGGTTCTGGTAACCAGACTGTGTCCTCTGGAGGAGGAGTGAGTGCTCTGAACCACTCAGCCACCTCTATAGCCCCACCTAATAAATTTCAGACTTTCATCAGACCCCAGAAATACTCAACACTTTAGTCTACACTCCTAATCTCCAATTTTCCCTCAGGAAAACTCATGAAACCACGAGTCAGATATATGTCTCTATGAATTTAATAGTTCATGGTATTTCATATAATGGAATATTAAAATATATTACTTTCATTGTCTGGATCTCTTAACATTCTCAATGTTTAACCATATATTAAACACTGTTCTATTTCTTTTTATATTTATTACTTATTGAAAAATAATGTCCTAGTGATGAGTAAGCCATACCAACCACTCATTAACAACGAACATTCAGATTGTTTTAACTTTTAGTACACACCGTGCTTCTCTGAAGATTCATTTACAGCCTTGGCAGACTTTTTTATTTCTCTTGGGTACATATCTAAGACTGAGATTGTTAGATCACAAGGTAAGTCTGTGATGGAACTGTCCATGAAAGGGTCAATCCCCAGTACTGCCTCTCTCAAAATAAAGAAGAGAGATGAATGATCTACCTGTCAATTCCTCATATCCTTACCAGCCCTTGACATCAGCATCACCTCATTACGTTTTTCACTTTTGCATTTAAATTTTGTGTGTGTGTGGGGGGGGGGTTGTGTGTACTTCAATGACCAAGCAGAAGCCACACAACAACTTAGTGATGTCAGTTCTCTCCTTCCAACATCTAGGTCCTGTGTATCAAACCCAGCTTGCCATGTTTAATGGTAACTGTTTGTAGCTTCAATTATAATTGTTCTTAATAAGTAAAAGTCAGAGTCAGGAAAAAGGGTAAATGCTGAAAAATCAAAGAAGCAGAGCAGTCAGTCACTAGTCCTTACCTCTCCTGAATCCTTAGGATGAATGGACGATCCTCTTTCTAAGAATCCTCACACTGAATTCACTGAGCTCCTATCTCCTCCTGCCTTATAGTCCTCTCTCAACCAAGCCATATCCCTTCCTGTCTCCACCTCTCTAGTGTTGGGATTAAAGGTGTGTGACTCCCAAGTACTGAGATTAACGGTGTGCGCCACAACTGTCTGACTTTGTTTCTCTTTTATAGTGCATCAATCTTGTGGAACCCAGGGTGGATTTAAACTCACAGAGATGCATCTGCCTCTGTCTCCTGAGTGCTGGGTTGAAAGGTGTGCGCCACCACTGCCTGGTCTCAATGAATAACTAGTGGCTAGATCCACACTCTGATCTTCAGACAATCTTTATTTGTTATAGCACAAAGTATCACAGCAAGTATTTGTATACACTGAAAAATCATGCTTGCTCGCCTTTTCGAAATTTCTAAATTGTGATAAATTTTAACAACATATAGAGAATAGTAAATAACCATCTATGTGTCTATATCAAATGATTGTCATGACTGTTTTGGAATGTCTCGCTTTTTTTTTTGATCTGTCTTTTAAATACCATGAGTCCATACAAAACCAGTGAGCAAAAACCACATGAAGGTACCAGTGACTCCACTGAGGACTAGATCATCAAGGAGAGTGATGTAGATCTAGAGAAACACCTTCTCTGGAGCATCTCACTCTGCCTATACTGCTGTGCCTGGTGGCCTTGCCTTAGCCAGGCAGCTGTGTTTCTCTCTGGTCTCAGTAAGATGATGTAGCACTTGGGGATGAAGATGCCACCCAGAAGGCCAGCAGTGGAGGCCAGGATGGAGAAGATTTCTACAGCCACCATAGACTTACCCCGGGCACTGTGGTACAGGGGCAGGAACGCTGTCCAGACACTGCAGAAGAGCAGCATGCTGAAGGCCAGGAACTTAGTCTCATTGAAGACATCTGGTAGGCCCCTGGCCAGAAAAGCCACAGAGAAGGTACCCCCCGCCAGAAACCCCAAGTAGCCTAGCACACAGAAGAAGATGGTGCCAGAACCCTCCTGGCACTGGATGACAATGTGTTGGGGCTCCGAGACCATATCCCTGTCTGGGAATGGTGGGGAGGTGGCCAGCCAAACCCCACAAAGAACAACCTGCATGAAGGAAGCAATGAGGACCACCGAGGTGGAAGCCCCAGGGCTCAGGCACACCTGGATCCTGCCCCCCGGCCTGGTGACCCTGAAGGCCAGGACCACTGTAAGAGTCTTGGCCAGAACAGAGGAGACAGCCACCGTGAACACCACAGCAAAGGTCGTCTGACGCAGGAGGCACGTGGGGACACTGGGGCGGCCAAGGAACAGCAAGGTGCACAGGGCACAGAGGGAAAGAGAGATCAGCAGGAAGTAGCTGAGGGTTCTGTTGTTGGCCCTCACCACGGGGGTGTCTCTGTGCTTCAGGAACACTCCCAGAACTAGGACAGCCAGACCAGCCAGGAAGAGTGCCACCAAAGCCAGCACGAATCCCAGAGGTTCCTCAAAGGCCAGGAAGATCTCTGTCCTGGGCAGGCAGCGGTCTCTGGTGTGGCTCGAGTACTGCTCCTTGGGGCACAGGAGACATCTCTTCATGTCTACGGGAGACACAGACACCATTTCTGCAACACTGTGCCAACTGCACCAGCTCTGAAGGAAGGCGCCCCAAGCACTCCCTGCCCTTACAGCCTTTCCATCTAGTCATGGATTTATGAATTATTCTTGGTGACCAGGGCTGGGATGGGTGATAT